GCACACAGATAACACGAATGAAGAGTCACAATGATTACGTATTATTTCGCTGCAAGGAGATGACTTGCTTGAGTGGAGCACAAGAGTCGTGCCGAGAGGAAGCAAATGACTCAATCTCTCGTCCTTGAATATAATGACCAGGTCAGGAAGCCGAGGCGACCCAGCCGTCTGCATTTACCGAGGAATGTATTTAGAATGTAGTCTGGTGAGGTGCATCCATTAGCAAATTAGAAGAAGAAGACGAAGCACTCCTCAAATTCTACTCTTGAAGCAATATCAATGGCTTGTGTAGAAGTCTTTCTGTTCGCTTCCAGAAGTCAAAATCTCAGCAAAGATTGTTAATTCTCCCAAGAGGTCCTGATAACACAATGAGAGCAGGATAATTATTAGATTCTTTTAACTTCGTGTGATCAATCTCGATGCTCATAACACCTACAAGAGTCCAAGAATTTAATTCTGATGATCGATCGAAAGGAAAGGACATGAAATGCCGCCGTAAAGGTGGTGTGACTTGTTCAAGTACAATGCTCAGAAGCCCAAGCCTTGGACGAACGGAACTATGCTGCGAACCATGATAATCTCCTTTTGCTCTCAACCAAAGTCGACACAATCTTCAGACAGCGAGATCGAATCACTTTCATGTTCTCAGGCTATCCTGGTCATGCTCATCTAACCTTCTGAACAAAAGTTATACCGATCTTTGGGTCAAGAGATTGTCGTTCTGAGATGTGGAGTGTTCATCATGCGTGCTCGAGATGTGGAAAAAGGACACCAATCAGAGCTGTACACAAGAGCTGGCACCTGTGACTTGTGACTCTGGTCATCATCTTCAGGTGGTTTGAGCATGCACCTGATAGTAACAGATTTCAATTCCGAATGTGTAATCTCAGAATGATTAGTGGGTTTTTGTACTAGTCCCACGTATATGCTGCAAGGCATGCTGAGCATTTGATAGAATGTCAAAATTGTTCCAGCATTGCAAACTTGTGCGAAATGATCAAGCAAATTCCTGAATGAGTCAATTTAAAGCGTAAGATGCGATTTACTTTCTGACTTCGCAGATTCGGGAACGTTGTCCTTCGTTCATTAGCCGCAAGTAAGAGAAGGTCGTGACATCATTCCCCAAGCTACAGGAGCGGTTTCGCGAGGTGCTTGGAATCGAACATAGTACCAGAGTGTTCAGTGTTTTTGAATACAGAGCTGAGTTGAGCTATCCATAATTAAGACCGAAGCTGGATCGGAGCTACTGTGTCAGTTTATTAAGGGAGTATCGGGTACGATGATCTTCATCCATTGTGATTCTTCATAGACATCTGAGCATGTTTGTACAACCATACTGGAGCACAGAACGCGGTACATAACATTATCAGACTGCTTGACATGAACAATGTCTCGATTCTAGGCTTCCTCACTTCGAATTGAAATGCACTCTGAATGTAAGTACTGCTGCGAGGGAACATGGAGAAGGAATGTCATGTTTCGAAGTACTCGGCTTTCTCAGCGAAGAAAGCTCATATTGTCTAAAGCAGCAGCAGCAGCGGAAAAGTCATTTCGAGAAATGGATATAAAGAGAGATCCTAGAGAGATGCTACTTTGGGTCATCATCAGTTGTACGATATCTCATCCAAGATACACCTCTTTTTGTTCGTGATTGCTGAAACTTTTAGCCACTGACATGAATTTCATTATCGTTTGAGATAATAGCGAGGCTCTTAAATTTTCGACTTTCCATGTATGTGACACGCTCTTTCATGAAGAGAAATTCGTCGACTTTGACCTGTTTGGTCCCAGTCATTATTACTGGCAGCAGCCCTTATGCTCCAGATTTGGATACAGTTAGTGTACAATTTCTGGTTTGGTCCATCTTTACCCACTCTTGATCCGGTCAAGTTCGTATTCATTCAATTTAGCACTTCAAAGTTCAAAACTCAGTAGAAAATGCAATTACGAAAGATTTACCGCATCGATCGCCCTTTGACAGATCCTCTGTGGGCCGTATCATTCTTTGAACTGTCCCTTAAGTTGCGAGATACTTTTGGGCAGTACACCGTACTTGAGGAATGGAGACCTTGATTCTCACATAATTGTACTCGTTCATTGATGTTCAATTTCTTACATGCCAGCATTGCTTTCCAACTTTTACAAAACCAATCGGAAGAAAAATCTTATCTCGAGTAAGTTTTGAATTCCAGCGAAGAAAACTTGTGGGAAGAGTTAAAGGATCATCATCATCATCATACATCATATCTGGGAACGTGATTCTTGCATTAAAATTTATTGCTTATATCAAAAGCATTTTACGGTGTTCGGTATAGGTCAATATCATCTCCCCCGTAAGGACTTCAAAGCTTCCAAACCCTCTGCAGCCAATTCAGAAGAAAATTGCAGCAGTAGCCATCGGGTTAATCTCCAGTTCAGTGTCAAATCTTTGGAACAAAACAGGTTGCAACGTCAGACAGAAGACATGAACCTATGAAAAGGTGATGATTCCTGGAAAGTTGCTGACCTGCACAAACATGTTTTCCTTCTCTCATGTCAGTGGCATGCAAAGAAACTTCTGAATGCAGATTTGCAGCGCAGGGCAGCCTATTGAAGAACGAGTTCTGGGATGTACTGATACGAAAGACAGTCATCCGCACATGTATGTGTATTTGATGGACGTTCACGTAAGTTATCGAAAGAAGTTTGACCGAGAATGCATTGAGATCATCGTCGAGGCTCGATGTTTCTCTGTGTTCATGCTTGAGCACTGAATGTATAGCGTGAGTCAAGAAAAGTAAAGAGACTGTCCATGTTCAGCTGATTCAATGGATTCATGTGTCTTCAATTCCAGAAATGCTTTTGGGAGATGTATGAGAGGTTATGGAAGGAATAATGGAATGACAACCTATAGTCTTTTTCAAAAAGCCCATGTCTTTCACCAGAATCTTGTACAAGCAGTGATAGTGCTCCCAGATGTTAGAAGTTTGATCATTGAATAACCTCCTCTCCACGCATTGGCTTCGAGAATGAGATTTCTCCTGGAACGGCACAGAGGAGTTAAAACAGGTTGTAAATGTGTGCCACCCTCTAGACTTGTAGAGAAGCTCATCAAAAAGGCGGACTAGAACAAACATACCCCAAGTGAGTGGGTGTCAGGAATTAAACAAGGTACTAGGCAGGAAGAAGAGAAATGAATAGTAAAGGAGAAATCACGACAGATATCCATTCCACCACATCGAAACTCATGAAGAAGAGTTTGGAGATTGCCACTTACATGATGTTCATATATCATGACAGGGACATGGGGACCTTTCACTTTTCACTTACTTGGTTACTAGGGTACCAACCGCTGGTTATGAATAATTCTGGAGAAACCAAATGGTACGTCAGCAATCGCTCACATGTTGATAGCATTGACAGGAAGGTTCAGGACACCTCACCACATGCTTGTGGAGTCAGCAAGGTGCATCTGGCATGAACGCACGAAGCACCTGAAACCCAATCACGAGCTGTTCAGCCATGGTTACTTATGGAGCGAAACGACGTAGTTGAACAATATAAATAAAAAAGTAGAATTATAGAATATACGATTGATCGTTTATATATTTATTTCATCCGATGTTGTTGTATATTTTGTACAATGATATCTTACTATGCAGGCTGATAATCCGACTAAGATTTAGTTCAGTAAAGCCGTCTGCAACCTTCTTACACATAGTCACTCGTGTAAAGCGGGGGTTTTATTTTGGAGAGGAGCGATTTATGAGGCCACCATCACGGCATATAGCAGAGACTCATGCTGGAGATATAAAGCTATATGCAGTGTAGTCGCCTTACAAGATTCTCAATATAGTAATTTTGAAATCGTAAAAACCTTGAGCAAGAGATGCATTCCGATATAACGCTGGTGTTTGGAAGCTGCATCAGCACAGGACCTGCTTGCGTCAAGTACAGTCATGTGGGGATCTTCAAAGCGACTCTTAACGCCTCTGAGAGTCTGAGTCACTGAAAGCTCTTGCTGTTCAGATTTACATGGTTCGAAAGGCGATCTGACGTACTGTGTGATCTAAGATACAATGCTGCGTCCTCCTCTCGGGACACGAGTATCTACTTACTGTAACTCGAATTATTACCAGAATATTCATGACTGAAACAGTCGCTGGCATGTTCCTTGGGCCTTCCTTTGGAATCGCCTGGGACCTGGGTCTAAACTCTCAAGGGACACACGGCTCGACCTTTGAACCTGCGCTGTTGCTTACAGCTGGGGAGCAAGCTCACCGAGGCGACCATCTTGTAAGCAAAATCAAAATTAGGAAGTGATCATGAGGTTTCAGAACTCCCTCCTGTAAACACGGCCTCCACATTAGTGGGAGTTTAGGACTAAATTAATGTTCAGCCGACCAGATCAGATTTCATAATGACACGGGGGTAGAATTGTGAGATCCCGCTCAGCTACTGGGGATGAAATATTGTAGAGATGCAGCTTTTAGTGCACTTGAAGAGAACTTGTACCTCGGAGGCTCCAAGTTGGTGGGTATAGTTCTGTTGTATTAGCACAGCCGAATATGCGACAGTAAACAAATGTCGTCTTGAGGAAATTTGCGAGTCCAATCTGTATTCGACGTACGTTCAGTGGGTATCTACCCCAGTACATCGGAGGATATCTGCAAAAGCCATGAGAAGAACCAGCCAGTCGTGTCGAAGGGGACAGGGAGACACTTTTGCATTCAAAATTCGTTCTCTTCTGTCTGGGAAGAGCCAGCGAAGGTTTAAGCGCATGGACGAGTTCGTCTCCGGCCGAGGCAGCACTGGAGTGGCTCACCGGACAGTAGTAGGCAATTGATGGCAGCCTTAAATGCTGCGCGCCATTGGACAGCTCTGAGCGAGGGGGGCATTGTACCTTGCAAATCCGTCGGTCGAGACTTTAATATTTCAGCATGTCTATGATTGACCGAAACTATATGGCCGTGATCGTATATATGGGGCAGGGCAGCTGCTCGGTAGTCTGTCTCACCATTCCTCGCAGCCTTCTCCCACTTCTCAGTTCTCACTCGCTCGCTATCCTGCCAAGGGTGAGGCTGCGAGCTGGTCGCACTTGTCGTCCCCGTCCCTTGCCCTTGGCACGTGGGTCTGCTTCTGTCTCCCAGGCCTAACGAACTTGAGATCGCAGCTAGCTCCTCATCCTCAAGGCTCAATCCGTAGAGCTCAGATTTGACAGATCCGGATATGGAACAACGCGTGTAGTCTTCGTGCATGGACAGTAGGACTCCTCTCAAAGGGATCCCGGCTGACGACTGGCTGATCGGAGCAGCAGATTCCTTTAGAAGCCCAATTTAGCAGCGAGGCCGGGTGCGAGCGCAGAGCTCTGCTCGATCGGCGAGTACGTTCAGCAGCTGAGCTTATCCAAGATCTGCGCCATGGCGTCTCAGATATTGCCGATGGTTGCGGCTGTAATCCTTGTCTCGCAATCTCTGTGGGCTCAGCAGGCACTCGCTCAAGCTGAAGAGCCCTTGGTCCCGGCTCTCATTATCATCGGAGACTCGACCGTGGATGTGGGCAACAACAATGGCCTCGTGACTGTCATCAAAAGTAATTTCGGCCCTTACGGACGTGATTTCAGTGCTGGACCCACAGGACGGTTCTGTAATGGGAAGATCATCCCCGACTATGTGGGTAAGTAGAAAAAAAAACACCTGCAGGATTATATATGCCGTGGCATGATGGAGATTTATGAATTCCCATCCTCGGTCGGGTCCAAGAGGAACGACCTCAGAAGATAGTCGAGGAGCTGCTGATCCTTCTGAATATCCATCCCTTTGGAAGTGTCACGCTTCAGTGTTCTGCAATTCACAACGAGTGGCTTGTTAGCATCGCCGAACATATATCGACGGATCCAAATTCCACGGATTCCGAATATACAGCAGTGAGAAATTTAAAGAGCCGCAGCTGAAGCATGAGGCTTTAGACAAGTCATCGATGTGGATGTGAAATTGCAGTCTGATAATGGCTGGCTGTGATAGAGATAGACCCAGCACCACTGTATATTGCATTCATCTTTTCATCTGAGCCGGAAGAAGAGTTTACAGCAGCCTGCTCATCAGCATGGCGTGCGTCTAGCGCAGTCACAGGGGAGAGCCTAGCAAATGACATAGTACTCTAGAGACACATGTGCCATGCTCACAGTTTTATGGAGTAATCCTACGGCAAAGAATGTGAGGGAGGCTTCACAATGTGTCAATTTCTTTAGTTTGAGCATGACGCAGGTAAGTTCCAAACGCCGAAACACCAATTCAGCATGTTGCTAACCTTGGTATATTTGTTTCTACAGCTGAATTCATCGGAATCCCTTATCCTATGGCATATCTGGATCCTGCTGCCAAAGGCAGCGCTATATTGACTGGTATCAACACGGCTTCCTCAGCTTCGGGATTCTACGAAGGGACTGCCAAGAACTTTGTAAGTTTGACCTATCTCACTTGCTCTTTACATCTCATAAATCTCATTAAGACATTTGAAACCGGAGGTGCCTGTTCGCAATCATTGTGGAAAGAACTTGTGCTTGCAATGGAACTCACTTCGTTGATTATATATCGAGATTTATCTATTCGATGACGTCCACGTAGATAGAGTGAGTTGCTGGATTCGTCTGTTAGACCGAGGCCCTGAGATGAGCTTCATACTGCAGCATACTGTGTGCCAGAAGGTGAACTTAACACAGTGTGTGCGTGGTGTGTGGTGCTAGAACGTCATTCCCTTGTCTCAACAAATGGTGTGGATCAAGGACTGGCAGAGGCAAGTTACTGATCAAGTCGGCCCCGCAAGAGCAGCCACCATCTTCGAAGAGGGAATCTTTGTTGTGAGCACAGGAAGTAATGACTACGTCAATAACTACTACCTGAACATTTTGCTTCAAGAGAAGTATAACCAGGACCAGTACAGAACTTTGCTCCTGGATTGTACCATCGGCTTGCTCAAGGTCACTCACTGCTACTCTTCTTTGGGTGTTTCATACACACGAGTCACTGCGAAATTTTCGATAAAATCCACAGACCTCTTGGGCATCACGTTGTTATCTTTTATCCAAACTAGAGGTAAAATTGCTTTTGAGAAAATGAGCTGAGTTACGACCGATCCTGATTCTCGGTCACGTGCATTTGCAGGAAATGTATGCCACAGGAGCGAAGAGGATTGCAGTTGTGGGCATGCCACCTCTCGGATGCCTTCCTTCTCAGATAAAACTGAGACTCGGAACGAACAAGTGTGTCGACTCCCTGAACCAGAACGCCATAGACTTCAACGCAGCTTTGAAAGTCGAGGTCGACAAAATGATGCCATCGATGCCCGATGCCAAGATTGTGCTCCTGGACTCCTACTCATATATCTACGATGCGTTTCACAACCCCGCCAAATATGGTAAGTCCATCGAATCTCTTACATTCTTCTCTCTGTCGTCTCAGTATCCATCGCTCTCGGGACGCCACGCCGTCAAACGTGACACGCTGAATTTTCAGTGACTGCAGCTGCAATGAAGTTACATGTACGTTCACCGAAGCTGCAACAGTCCAGTCCGTATTGCGTGACTCTGCCCTCGAACACTCCACTGCTATTGACAGCGATTCCATTCCCTACTTCCCTCAGATGATAAACCTTTCCTTTAAGATGCAGAGATCGAGATGCTTGCTACTTTTGCCAGTAAAATAGATCGAGGTCCCTCTTCCTCCTCTCCTCTCCTCTCCTTGCCTCCCCTCCATCAGTCAAAACAGCAGACAGCAACTGTGTATATAATTCAAGGACAATGTCAGGCCGGCCAATCTGACAGGCACAGACAGCCTGGCATGTACCACACCCAAGACAAGCGCCTTCCGCTGCCCTCTGCTGTCATCTCCCTGAGAATTTCTGGTGGACTCAGAGTTGCGTGTACAACGCGACTGGATTCAGCGAGATTCAGTTTTGCATGTCACGGTGTGAGAAGTGTGACCCGCCGTCCTCGACTACTTTGACCGTAATATATCAACGCTGGTAGATATGAGGTATTGACTGAGCAAGCCTCTTTCGCAGTCCATGAGACTGAAGACGAGCCCAATTCTGCTCAGCTGGACTTTGAATTTCCGAGACCGTCACCATCAACCTCGTATCGGCAGTGGGGGCCCCAAGTGTGGATGTCGTGAGAGTCTGAGGCCCGTAACGGAAGTTGTGATCGTGAAGGTCATTGAATGTCCCATAATGAAGAAGCACGTGCAGATGTGGGCCCATGCCATCAGTACCGTTCCGACAGCTAGAGGATCCTCAGTACGATAACTGTAGGCCGTTGGACTAGATTGTTAGAAATTGATCATCTAGCTACTCGATTATTCTAATTAATATGATTCGAATCGGTCAGCTCTGATCGTCCTGGAACTGCACGCATCGGGAGTTCAATTCTTCGGGTGGAACTCATGTTCCACATCCATTCAGCCAGCCCATTGGAGCCGACTGAACACTGAATCCTCTTGCTCGTTTGCCCCGTCATTAAGCCCTCCTGTGACATCGCCAGGGACGTAGGGCTAAAGCACCTTTACTGATCAGTGCAGTGCACAGATTGCCCAAAGCTTACAGTCTCTGTAGTCCGAGTGTACGGCAAGATTCCAGTTTAAAGCCATGTTTCATGGGAGTTCGCAACTGACCAAACAACAATGCGATTCAGATTATCAGACAGACCCCTCTCCGAGTTGACAAGAGTGTCGATGAGACCGATACTCTGGCTGCAACAGAGAAAATGAAGGGCGCGTGTCAAATTTGGAAACCTGAGCACCTTCATTTCTGTCTAGCTCCATCAATGCTGTAGTGGTGTTCAAAGAGCTGTCTGGCCGAGCGTTTATGAATGAGCAAAATGATTGCAAGAGTTAGTGTACATCAGTCTGGAGTAATTTGAGCAGGTGGATATGGGAGAAGATTTTTTGGCAGGGAGATTTATGCAGCTGGAGGTCTGGACTCGAGTTCTCCCGCGTTGCCTTGAGCCTCACCATGATAGCCAATATGATAACTGGAACGATTCCAGAAACTGATTGCATTGTTTGATTGAGCGTTGCTCCAGGGCTCAAGAAAACGTCCGAGGCGTGCTGTGGTACCGGAACGGTGGAGGTGGCTATTCTCTGCAACGAGGCCAGTCCCGGCACCTGCCAGAATGCTGATGAGTACCTCTTCTGGGACAGTTTTCATCCCAGCTCCAAGTTCAACGCTGGCATTGCTCGATACTTCTTTGACACTGCTGTCAAAGCATTCGGTTTGGTCAGGAAGCAAAAGTAGTGAGCGCCCACCGACCCAACAACAGGCGGATACTTGGTCAAGGCCACCGACATATATAAACATATGCACTCTTCTGTCACAGTGGAGATCCATGTTACATCATCCCGTCACCTCAAAGCAAAAACTTCCGACCTTTCTCCGTTGCCACATCCTTGGCGACTACTCCTAGTAGTTTCTTCGTATTTTTCGAGATCTGGAGATCCACAGCTTGGAGCAGCCCTCACTGCACAATAGATACTATAGAAAAGTTATGGAGCGAACATTTTTTCGATTAGCAGGTAAGATGGTCACGAGTTTCGTACCACAATAAGTAATTAGGTCTATCTATGATACATTTGTGAGGAGACATTCTCATCTGAGCATGGGGCCTGGCTGGTTGAAATATGCTTTTTCCTTCCCTCGCGTAGAAACTGTCCGCCAGAGTCAGAGGAGTGGGAAATGCACCCTTCGTTGACCTCACCGTCCCCGGTCGGGACATTTCATTCCAATGTTTTTTTTTGTGTAACAATTGTTACACACAAACTATGTGATCTACTATCATGGTATAAAGAAACACTTGCAAGGAACCTTTTGAAGTTCATTCAGACTCGCGTCAAGTTTTGCATTTGCATATTAAGCGCATTAGAGTGGAATTACCAGACCAACTCACCTTCAGTGCAGACCACTCTGATAGCATATACACTCAGATGCTTCTCGTCATAAAGCACAATGATGTAGGATAAGCCCTACCGTAGGCCTTAATAGAACCTCTCTTGGTTGAATCTATTTACGAGCCTCAGGAAAGAAGATCTTTGACAGATTCGTCTCCTGACACTTTATCCAGAAAACGCATTGAGTTCCGCATTCCGGTAATGGAGCTGCTAACATCACCCCCATTTTGAATCGTCACTCTTTGCTGTTTATATTTCCCAAACACAACAATCTTTAATCTACAGTGGACGCAAAAGAATCCAAATCCCAAAGACGAGATTTTATTTATCATCGAGCCCGAAGAAAGAGCAAGCACTCTGATGATGTAGAGGACACTTTCCCTGCCACACATTTCACTCGAAATCTGCTCTGCGAATCAAAACTCCACAAGTTTAATCATTTCTCCGTTCAATGCGATTGCTTTATTCAGTACGGTATCATGGACTTGAACAACGAGGTGCATTTTGTAGGAAGAAAGAAGTCAACGCCTACTTATAAGATTCCTTCCTTGATTGAAGATAAAGCTACACTTGAACCTTCAGACAAAAAGAAGTGCAAGGCTCTCGTCACCTGTAGCTATATTACGAAGCGCCTCTACCCGAAAAACCTCCACTCGAGGCATATGGAAACTGTACACGCTCGTAACATTTCTTCCACACGCCACTTCCTCCCGTTATTTACACTTCCCCAGAGCTTAAAGGAGAGTAAATCATATCGTGATAAGATCTGACCTGTAATGATTGCCTCTGCTCAGATTTGGTTGCAGACATCAAAACAATTGTGATTTTCGCCTGGCTCTCGTCAATCTATTTATCTCGAAAATTTATCCTAGTCGTTCCAGATTCAACTTTCGAGGCGATACGAAAAGAGGAAAGCGAAGACATTTTCAAATGTGGATCCACAATTTGTTGTCGATTAAGGCATTCAAAGCCGTTTTGTGTCGATGATGCATTCTTGTGATTTCAAGGCCAGTAGCCAAGCAAGCAGTTAAAAATGACAATGAACCTTTCCCAGCAGTGAATATTCGTGGCAGCTCGAGATACATGTGCTACAGAAAGTATCAGACATGAAAACCTCTGAGAACTGGTTTTCACAGGGAAAGGACCTCAAAGCACAAGCACATTGACACAAAAAGTCGGATCCCTCCACTCCTAAACTTGTAATCACTGTGATAAGAACTCACATTGGTTCTAGTTTGTTCTTTTCCTATCTCCAGATGCCAACAGAAGAGAGAATTCGCCTTTTCCCGATTCCTAGTTCAAACATTCCACAATTCAAATAGCAAAGCAAGTTCTCCAAGCCCGTACCAAAGGACTACACTACGGAACTTGCCCGAACATGCTCAAGTTCTGAGGCTGGAAGGACAGGGCAAGAGTCCCCGTACCATCCACTGATCTTCCTCAACTACCCCAGTAGGCTCCCATCATTCCACTATGATCCACACAACAGTCACACACGTACACACACGAAACTGCCTGTGCGCCACTTCTTCGGAGCTCGGCAGGACGCTCGAACTGTCAGAGGCTCAGAGTCCTCAGAGTTCCTTCAAGGACTGTACGATTTTGAGGCTCAGATACTAACTATATGGGATATGAAAAACTTTGGAAAAAGATCAGTTGTTATCTATGCCTACATATTGTTGTGGGTTCATAACTTCACATAGGATCACAAATGAGCTTAGGCGTACGACCAGTGAAATACATCATTCGCCAGTAGCTACAGTACTCCTCTCAAGACAAATCTGGGGAACTCATTGACAGAGTTTACCAACTTCGGTGCACATCTGAGCTTTGCGAGGTTCGATGCAACAACTAGCGCCAAGAGCACAACCGATCGATGACGGAGCTCGGACAGTGGTGAAATCACTTGCAGGTTCGTGAACCTTGAAGCAAGCTCCGATGCAGTTGACACATGAACCTGTTTCTGTGGATGAGATTGTATATTACAAATCATGAAATTGGCACTTGTTCTGGTTGCCGACAACTTTGGTTGCCATTACGGTCAAATTGCCAGTAATGCAATGTTAGCATAAACTAAGTGCTACAAGCTTACAGAGCTAAGCACGAATATAAGGATCAAGTACACTGTTGAATATCTGCGGCATTTCACGCACGTGGATCGTCCCAGAGCCATCCTCGTTATGATTCGAAGGACCTCGAAGCATGATGACTTGATGCAATAAAAACATATAATCTCGCAGATTTTTGAGGGCACTTGATCTACAGTATCTAAACTCTGCTCTTGAATTCACCAAATATTGAAACCTACGAAGAATAAAGCACTTCCTTATCCTTAGCATTCAAAGCCTTCGAGGTTGGCTGCTCGGTTCTGGCAACCAACAGGAGTGAACTCCCAGGGGATGCAGACCACAATAGATTGGGCATAGTTGTAACTAGTTCTGTAATGTCCGGACTACAGTGTCAGTTCATCAGACACCCCATGGACTCATTGATGCTAGATGCAATCAAACTTGCCCTTCACTTACTTTCACCTAAAACTTTGAAGTCTGTATTACGCAATCTAAATGTCTTGAATACGAGATCTGTGTTCAAGCCATCGCGATGTAGATTGCGAAACACACTTGAGTTATTCTCCCAAACTCCCCAGTCCACAAGAAGCTGCCGAGAGCTTCGTGGCGGGCTACCAAGCTCCTGAGCGGCCTTGGGGCATTATTTAAGTAGGTAACATGGCTTTTGTGGGAATGACTGAAGATACTGTTTTTTGAACCAGCTCGGAATTGATTGACGCTCTCTTCGAGAATCCACTCCTCACATGTCTAGCGGAAGGGAAAGGTGCGCTGCTCATTCTTCCTCACGTTCCTCACGATAACAGGAGTGGAACGGGACCACGGAACTCCCGATGTATCGTTCATGGGCCATGTTTTATGATTACTTTGAGACCGGATATGTGTCAGCATCCATCTCACTTTCCGGCCATTTGAAAAGAGGATCATTGACCAGAGACCGGATGCACAAGGCTACTGCTGTCTGCTATGTATCGAAGTAAACGAAAAAGAGGAATTGAAATGTGCCATACGACATTATCGCAGGTCTGTATTTGCTGTAATGATCGCCTTAACCTCATGCATCAGGATGCAGGTTGCTTTCAATCACCTACTTCTTGAAACATAGATTCTTAGGACATGTGATCACTTGTGTCTACTGCCACTGTATAGTACACCTTGAACTGGAACAAATCAGTTGAATTTTTAGAGCTGAGTTCCAGTTTCTCGAAGTCAATCATGAAGCGCACATTGAATGAAGTAAGGTGATTTTCACCAATGACAGTTATACTTGCATGATTTGATGGAAGCCCTCCGGTTTCCCGCTGTCTCATTTAGCGGAAGGGGCTTCCTCTCCAGCTGCCTGTCCAAATGTTGCTGTACTTACAAGCTGCATTAAAAGTTTGTCGTGCATGAACCTCCTTATATTCAATGAGTCCTTCGCACGTCCAAATTTTCTTTGCTGGCTGACATCCTGAGTCTTGACTGTTTGCACTCATCGCAAAGTTGCACCTTTGTCCAAGTTCTGAGAATTGCTTCATTTCCATCTTTGGGTTTTAGCTTCACGGTAATTCGGTAGTTCCTGCTTACTAGTATTATATCATACTTTAAAGAGGGAGTAAACGAAGCGGAATTCATGGGTGAGAGTTATTTGGAGTGCTGCCTTATCGTGTTAATCTTGACACAATGAATTTAAGATTATGTTACTCATTTAAATATCCCAGCCAAAGTTTATGTAAATAGTTTATATGGATTCAAAAAGAATGATCAATTTAGTATGTTGATCATTCATAGTTTAACACTGAAAATTCTGATGTAAATTTTGGAATTTTTTTAAAAGCTTTATTTTCTGCAAGGATAAAAAAATTTCAAGTACTTTACATCAATGGAAGATTGTTTTGTCTTATCCAATCAGAGCATATGAATAAGTGGATCAAGAGTTACATATAATGCAGATGGTTTATGTTCATAATTCTATTACTCTTAATCGATTTTGAATATATAAACATCAGCTAAGGTTAAAAAAACTTGAATTTTGACTTTTGATTTGATATTCTGAAATATATATTTATATCATGTTCATTCGTGTGTGTATAGAAAAAATTAAATTCACCAAAAATTTGAGTTTATTTCATTTTCTCTATATTAATCATATATCTTGTAAATTAATACATTGGTTTCAAGAAATGCATGAAGATATATAACCCACAAATAGAAAAACCTCACCTACAATAGAATATGTTGAATGCCAAGAGAACAACGAGAAATTAGCTTTGGTTTTCGATAAAATAAATCTTGGCTTGTGCTACTATTTATAAAGGGTAGCGTAAAACCATAGATCTCACTCTAATTAGTATGAATTCAAAATCTAACTCAAACCACGTTAAGTTAATTAAGTTTAACCCAAAACTTGAAACATATACTCCGCGGTAAGTTCAAAAAGGAATACTTATATAGAATACTCTTTATACTAGATCTAAGTAGAACTAATTCTTCTAAAAATCTCCAAAGTAATAATTTTCATAAACGCATCAGTTGTATTCATTATACCTACAATCTTGATGAACTAAATATTTGCATCACACAATGAATCTTTGATAAAGTGATAATTGATGTCAATGTGTTTCGCTCTTATGTACATCACTTGGTTTGCAGCAAAATGTAAAGCAATTTGATTATTATGATGAACATTGATAACCTTTTGTTTCAATCCGATCTTAGTGATAAGCCTCTAAGATCAATTAGTTTACTTTGTTGCTTTGTTACTACTAGATTTTCAACTTCCCGTGTGGATTGAGCTATGCAATTCTGCAAAGTACTTAATGCATACATCACCAAATATAAACACATATCTAGATATAGATTCATTTT